GTGCCTTCCACGGGCATCCCATGCTACCAAGGGCGGGCAGGGAGCAGCTCCAACAGGGGTGGAGTTCCCTGGGCACTGCACTGCACCCCCGGACTGGGGAACAGGGAGGACAGCCCCACCCGGGCCCCAGCAGTTGTCCCTCCAGGGTCAGCCCAAGGTCCCTCCCTTGTGGGGCCCCTCCAGTCAGGGAGGGGAGGTGGGTGCCAGAGTGGAGCCATTACTCCCCAGGGGTGATTTTAACGGGCGTCCTTCCCGTGGGGACCCTGGGGCTCCATCTTGGCCCAGCTTCCCGCTGCCGCCCCCTGAGCCCCTCGATCCTGCTCCCCAGAGGCTGTGCTGGATTTCTGCCCAAAGGAGCCCTACACCCAGCCCTGCCTCTGGGACTCAGGACACGGGGGTGCTGGCCCCTGAGAAGCTTATGTCACAGTCGCCTGGGCCAGGATGGGACCCACAGCTTCAACTCCAGTAACAGGAAAGCCCCCAGCCCTGCTGCTCCCAGCCGCACCCAAAGCCCAGGCCGTGGCCAAATTCCCCTGCGTGCTGCAGGCTCCCCATTCCTCCCGCCAAAGGACTCACCAGGAGTGGCAGTTCTTGTCTGAGGGCACCACTGCGCCTGGCCGATAGGACTTCCCATGGACATGGCACAGTGGTGGCGGAGGTGGGGTTGGGCAGGTGGCCACACACTGCATCTTGTCCTCATCAAAGATGGGAGCCTCTGGTGGGCACTTGGGGTAGCAGCCTGTGGGCCAGAGAGGCCAGAGTCACAACCAGGCCCAGCGTCAGGCACCTCGCCCTGGAGGGCTCCGCCCAGCCCCCAAGCAGTGGGCCTCGCTGACAGCACCAGAATGTGCTGGAAGCTGGGGCCACAGAGGCTCCTCGAGGGACCAGGAGAAGGGACCAGGAGAAGGCCAAGGGCAGCGGAGCGCAGGCCAGCCCCTCCCAGCCAGCCCCAGCCCACCTTCCAGGCCCCGGACGTCCTGCAGGCAGTCTCCACGGGGGTTCCGGCAGGTCCGCAGGCAGGGCGCCCCGCAGGGCTGGTAGTGCCACTCGCACTGGCCTTCCGGGTTGTAGTAGTCACAGAACAGAGCTGCAGGGAGGAAGGAAGGGCTCGGTGGGGCCCCAGGCACTCACTCGGGGAGGCTCCGCACCCCGGGGCTGCTCTAAAGCCGCTTCCCTCCCCTGCGCCTCCCAGCCATCGCAAGATGGGGACGGGGAGAGGGGGCCAGATCGGCACCCCCCAGTTATCAGGGTGCCACAGAGGCTGCCAGCAGAGTGGGGATCTCCAGCCGGAACAGCTCCAGCAGTGCCTGTTCCTGGCAAGGCTCCGTGTGGGCCAGAGCTGGGCAGCTCTGCTGACCCCTCTGCCCAGAACGTTCTACCACACCAGCGACCCCTCGTCAGCCACGCCCTCCTCTCTGGGCCCAGGTGTTTCTGTTTCTTTGGAAACCTTCCCCGGCTCCCCACCCATCAGTGGTGAGGGTGGTGGGGCACACCCTGCTGGCACTTCCTGTTCTGCCCCGGGCGCCCGCTCGCACTCACGGCAGATGCTCGGGGTCCTCCAGGACACACACAGGCCCGCTTCATGGCAGGCCTGGGCGTAGGCGGCCACAGCCGTGCAGAAACACTCGCAGTCACCCCCTGAGTCGCAGGCACATGCGTCGTTCACACAGGCCTCGTAGTACCTGGCTGGCTCCACCTGAGGGAGACGGGGCTTCAGGTTCCAGGGACCCCCCGACCCACCCCGTGGGCTCTTAGGGACCGGGCCCACACTGACATATTGGCTGGGACCGAGTTCCAGTGGAGCTCAGGGAGGGTGAATGTCCATCCGCAAGTGGCCAGCTGGGCCCATCTGGAGATCCACAGGGCCTGGGGCTTCCTTGGCAGCCCTCGGGGTTAACACCCCCCAGGGCCCCGAAACCACAGCTGACAGGTGTCAGAGCTGGACGCCCAGCCCCTCTAGGTGAGTCCACACCAGCGCCAGCGTCAGCCCCAGCAGCCCACACCCATGGTTGGCAGCTGTCCCCCAGCCCCCATTCCCTTCGCCCTTCTGGGGCCTCCTTGGGTCTCCATGACCCCCGTGGGCCCTGAGAAACGCCCCCCAGCCAGCATACGTGTGCGTGGCAGGCGGTGAAGGTGGGGCCGTGGAGGAGGCTGCACTGCTTCTGGGCCCAGGACTTGCGGAAGGGGTTGGCCGTGCAGGGGTCCTTGGCCGCCAGGGCATCCGGGCAGGACGGGGAGAGCTTCCAGCTGTTCCCGAACTCCAGCACGTCCCCCACCACAGACTGGCTCCGTGTGGCAAAGTCGTTGGCGGCAATGTCGTCGAAGTTCCCGCACAGGCCGCAGACCCTGCTCTGCAGAGGCGCCGGGAGAGGTGGAGGTGGTGCAGCAAACCCAGAAGGCCAGGGTCCCCCTGCCCCTCGGCCGCCTCCTCCCACTCAGGGCCCCCCTGCCCCTCGGCCGCCTCCTCCCACCCAGGGCCCCCCTGCCCCTCGGCCGCCTCCTCCCACCCAGGGCCCCCCTGCACCTCGGCCGCCTCCTCCCACCAAGGGCCCCCCTGCCTCTCAGCCACCTCCTCCCACCCAGGGACCCCTGCCCTGCAGCCGCCACCTCCCACCCAGGTGGCTGACAGCGACCACAGGCACTGCTTCCTCTTTCCCACCTCCAGCTACACCTGGGGAGGCCCCAGGCAGTGCAGCTGAGCACTGAGGGCCGGGGCCAGACACAAGCCCCTCCTGGAGAAAAAGGAGCTGATGTGGCCTCGAAGGACCTGCCTAAGTCCTGATCCCGGTGCCTGTGCATGGCACCTCACTGGGAGATGCAATCTTGCAGGTTGAGGTAATGACTGGGTCCTGAATCCAATGCCTGGTGTCCTTATAAAAGCAAAACTTAGACCCAGTCACAGGGAGGAGGCCGCATGAAGACAGGGGCGGTGATCCCAGCGGTGTGGCCACAGTCGAGGAGTGCTGGGGTCCCCAGCAGATGCAAGGGGCCAAAAGGAGCCCCCCAGAGCCTTCTGAAAGAACTCAGCCCAGTGGATGCCCTGCTGGACTTCCAGTGTCCAGGCTGCGGGCAAATCTGCCAGGGTGCGGGCCTTTGCTCTGGCCTCAGAACACGGACACCCAGCCAAGGAATCTCCTGACCTGCTGCCCTTGCCAAGGCTCCATCCCCCTCCAATTCCCACCGCCTTTCCATTTCTGTGTTTCTGTGTCTCTGTGCCTCTCGTCTCTGCCCACCTGTTCCATGCACCCCACCTCCAGGTTTCCACCTCCAGGTTTCCACCTCCGGGTTCCCACCTCCGGGTTTCCAGCTGGCCCTGGCCTGGATGAGGGGCATAGTCTTACCTTGAACTCGGGGCTGAGGTTGATGAAGATGCTGGTCTTCTTGTCCCACAGCAGAACCAGGCCGATGTCGGTGTCCACCACCAGGTAGATGCCCATCTGCCGGATGGTGTATGGCACCTCCTGGCTCTCATTCGTCCCAATCACCTCCACTTTCCCGTGGCTCAGCTTCAGCTCGGAGCCCTGCACGGCAAGGGGTCGCTCAGGGCCCCCAGCGAGAACCCCAGCCCACCTGGCCAGGCGCTGCCAGGGGAGCCTCCCGGAGGGCATGCAACCGCCCGGCCTCACTCACCCCCAGGAAGATCTTGATGGCCTTGGAGCAGGTGGTCCCCGTGGTGCCGCAGGGAACGTTCTCAGTGACGACACGGAAGGAGTCCTGCGCGCTGCCTTTCCCGCCACAGTGGTTCTGGGGAAACAGAGGCCATCAAGGACCAGGCCGGCCCCGCCCTCCTTTCCACAAGGAGGATGGGGCGGGGACAACCTGTGTGCACCCTGGGGCAACTGCAGACAGGCAGTGAGCAGCTGCGGGTCGTGGGGACCACTGTGAAGACCCCAAACGCGCCGGCTCACCTGCACCAGCATGTACTCGCAGTCTCCGTTGAAGCTGTAGCTCTGCCCATCGAAGGTGAGGTAGTGGCCATCCCCGTACACAGCACAGGTGGCCAGGCAGGGGTCATCTGTACACCGCCACATCCTGCTGTCACAAGTGCTGGGGGACATCTGGGGGTCAGGCTAGAGCACCCACAGGGTGCCTGCCTGGCTGGGTGCAGCCTTCCTACCCCCAGGGGGACCTAGCACCACAGACACGCGCCCACTGGGCCTCCCTGGCTGGGGCTGCTGGGAGCATCCAGCCCTGAGTCTGTGCCCTGTGTTTTCCCGGGACCCCTGTGCTGGGGGCTCGCCTGTCTCTAAGGAGGGCCTCTGGTACCCTGAACCTGACACGCCCCATGGGCTTTGAGCCCCACGCATACCAGGTATTGCAGCCAACCCGGATGGTCTGGCCGGCCCGGTAGCTGGCCTCGTTGTGCACGCAGGGGCAGTCCTCCACAGTGATGCAGTTGCCCTCGCCGTCTGCCACCAGCCCATCGGGGCACACGCAGCCAGGCACACACTGGGGGCTGTACTGCAGGGCCAGCAGACACCGCTGAGTGATGGGGCAGGGCACGGGACCTGCCAGGTCCTCGCAGGGACAGCTCACCCGTGCTACAGTGGAGGGGCCACAGGACCAGACAGTCGGGAGCCCATGGGTCAGGGTCCTCTGGGACGTGGGGCAGCCCATGGCCTCATGTATCAGAGGCTCACCACTGCCCACCCTGGGGGCAGGCACCCTTAGCAGGCAGGGGTGGATGGAGGGTGTGTCATCGGGGAGTCCTCAGGGGCTTACACAGGTCATGTCCAGGGTGTGGCAGCTCTTCTGACAGCCGGCCCCCGTGTCCCCGGGCGTGGCATTGTGGCAGTCGAAGAACACCATGGGCGCAGCACACACTGGGGAGGGAAGGGCCGTCAGGGGGCCCAGCCACAGGCTGCTGCAGTGCCTCAACTATGTGTTCAGAGAGGACGTGTCTGTGCCGTGTGCGTGTGCATGAGTGGGTGTGTTAGCATTGCATCAGTGGGTGTGAGTGCTTGTCCGTGAGTGGGTGCGTGTGCATGAGTGGGTGTGTTAGCATTGCATCAGTGGGTGTGAGTGCTTGTCCGTGAGTGGGTGCGTGTGCATGAGTGGGAGTAAGTGCATGTGCATGAGTGGGTGTGTGTATATGAGTGGATGTGAGTACGCATGAGTGGGTGAGCATGTCCATGAGTGGGTGTGTGAGCATTGCATAAGTGGGTGTGAGTGCTTGTCCATGAGTGGGTGCGTGTGCATGAGTGGGTGTGTGAGCGTGTCCATCGCTGGGTGTGAGCATTGCATAAGTGGGTGTGTGTGTGCATGAGTGTGTGTGTGTGCATGAGTGGGTATGAGTGTGTGTGCATGAGTGGGTGTGTGTGTGCATGAGTGGGTGCGTGTGCATGAGTGGGTATGAGTGCATGTGCATGAGTGGGTGTGAGAGCATGTGCATGAGTGTGTGTGCATAAATGGGTGTGTGCATGAGTGGGTGTGAGTGTGCATGAGTGGGGGTGACTGCATATTCATGAGTGGGTGCGTGTGCATGAGTGGGTGTGTGTGCATGAGTGAGTGCGACAGCATGTGCATGAGAGTGTGTGCATGAATGTGTGTGCATGAGTGGGTGTGTGCATGAGTGGGTAAGTGCATGCATGAGAGGGTGTGAGTGCATGTGCATGAGTGGGTGTGAGTGCATATTCATAAGTGGGTGCGTGTGCATGAGTGGGTGCGGATGCATGAGAGGGTGTGAGTGAGTGTGCATGAGTGTGTGAGTGTGCATGAGTGGGTGTGAGTGCATATGCATGAATGGGTAAGCGTGTCCATGAGTGGGTGTGTAGGCATTGCATAAGTGACTGTGAGTGCGTGTGCATGAGTGGCTGTGTGTGCATGAGTGGGTGTGTGAGCATGTGCATATGTGTGTGCATGAATGGGTGTGTGTGCATAAGTGGGTGTGAGTGCATGTGCATGAGTGGGTGTGTGCATGAGTGGGTGCGAGTGTGTGAGTGGGTGTGTGCGTTGCATAAGTGGGTGTGCATGTGCATGAGGGTGTGAGGGGGTGTGCATGATTGGGTGTGTGAACATGTGCATGAGTGTGTGTGTGCATGAATGGGTGTGTGTGTGCATGAGTGGGTGTGAGTGCGTGCACATGAGTGGGTGTGAGTGCGTGTGCAAAAGTGGATGTGTGAGCATGTGCATGAGTGGGCGTGAGTGGGTGTGTCATGTGTGCGCCCACACCCTCCTTTCTTCCCGCTTGCTGCCCAGAGGGCACAAACCATGCCTGACACCGAGCGGCTGATCAACAACCACCAGCCCCGTTGACTTGCGGTGGAACTAACCCTGAAGCCGTTTTTCAGGATTTCTTATGGAGATGATGAGGCTGGGGTCCCCAGTGCCTCCTTTCTGGCACTCACCTGGGGTGGGGGCTTGGCCTCCGATGCAGCTCAACTTCCCATGTGTGCAGGTGCTGTGAGGAGACGGTGGTCAGAGCCTCACCCTGGGCCAGCAGGTGCCAGGGACCCCCAGTCCACAGCGGGAGCTCTTACCAGACAGCCCCACTGTCGTGCACCGACTCCCCATTGGGGATCACGGAGCCCCTGTGATAGCAGGGACAGTTGCTGGCCTGCACACACTTGCCCGTGTCGTCCAGGAAGGTGCCCTCGGGACAGATGCAGCCATCCACCGGGATAAAGCCAACACTGCAGGTGATGTCCCCCTCACTCAGAGAGCGGCAGGTGGGCTGGCAGGTGCTGACATTGTAGTGGTAGGTCATCGACTTGGGGCAAGTGGTCATGGGCTTTGCTGCAGGATGCCAGGAAGAGGGAATTCTCAGGACACAAAACCCAGCAGTGGGCAGCCAGCAGCGAGTGACCCCAACCCTCTCAGCTACCCTCCCCTCCCTTCCTCGGCCAGGTCCAAGGCCACACTGACCTGGGGGCTCCTTGCCCTCGAGCTCAGCACAGGGGACGGGGACCCTTAGAGCACCTGTGCACACTGGGGGCACCCCAAGACCCGGGGGCACCCCAATATCCGCGGCCACCCAGTGTAGGAAAAGGGCTGGGCTTGGCGGGCACTCACTGCAGACGCCGTTCCTCCAGCCACTGAGCTGCACACCCTTGGCGGCACAGGCATGCACATAGGAGGACAGCACGGCGCACAGGCAGTCCTCGCTCCGCTCACAGTTGCAGGTGTCAAACATGCAGTTCTGTGGGGAAGGGGGGCATCAGGGCATCAGAGACCCCAGCCCACACCTGGTGGCCCCCCACACCCTGCAGGCCACACATCCAGCAGCCAGGGTCCTCCCGTCCCAGGTCTTCCTGCCTCCAGGACCCCTCCCTGAGTCCTCACAGGCATCCCACCCCCTCAGCAGAACCGCTTGGCATGTCATGCAGCAGAACCACCGTGCAAAGCTGGGGTTGTTGGGAGGACCAGGTCCTTCATCTCTGTGACCCAACAGGTCCAGCCATGCCCAATTTGCCTCAGACACAGCGCATCAGCTCAGCCTTGGCCTAACTTCCATTTGGCCCCTGAGGCCAGGGGGGCAACAAACCCCTGAAGTTTAGCCCCTGTGCCTAGTGTAGGGCTGGAGGTGCAAGAAAAACACCATAAACGTGGTTAATAAATGAGTGAAGGAATGAATGAAGGAATAAGTAAACGGTGGATGAGTGAGTGAATGAGTGAGTGAACAAGTGAGTGAGTGGATGAGTGAGTGAGTGGATGAGTGAGTGGATGAGTGAGTGAGTGGATGAGTGAGTGGATAAGTGAGTGAATGAGTGAGTGGATAAGTGAGTGAATGAGTGAGTGAATGAATGAGTGGATGAGTGAGTGAGTGGATGAGTGAGTGAGTGAGTGAATGAGTGAGTGAGTGGATGAGTGAATGAGTGGATGAGTGAGTGGATGAGTGAATGAGTGGATGAGTGAGTGAGTGTATGCGTGAGTGGATGAGTGAGTGAGTGAGTGAATGAGTGAGTGAGTGGATGAGTGAATGAGTGAGTGGATGAGTGACTGAATGAGTGAGTGAATGAGTGAGTGAGTGGATGAGTGAGTGGATGAATGAATGAGTGTATGAGTGAGTGAGTGGATGAGTGAGTGGATGGAGTGAGTGGATGAGTTGGTGAGTGAATGAGTGAGTGGATGAGTGAGTGAGTGGATGAGTGAGTGGATGAGTGAGTGAGTGAATGAGTGAGTGGATGAGTGAGTGAGTGAATGAGTGAGTGGATGAGTGAGTGAGTGAATGAGTGAGTGGATGAGTGAATGGATGAGTGAGTGAGTGGATGAGTGAGTGAGTGGATGAGTGAGTGAGTGAATGACTGAGTGGGTGAGTGAGTGAATGAGTGAGTGAGTAGATGAGTGAGTGAGTGGATGAGTGAATGAGTGAGTGAGTGGATGACTGAGTAGATGAGTGGGTGAGTGAGTGAATGAGTGAGTGAGTGGATGAGTGAGTGAATGAATGAGTAGGCGAAGGAATCAGTGAGTAAATGAGTGAATGAGTGAGTGAAGGAATGAATGAGTGAATGAGTGAGTGAAGAAATTCGTGAATGTGTGAGTAAATGAGTGAGCGGATGAGTGAATGAGCAAGTAGATGAGTAGATGAAGGAATTAGTGAGTGGGTAAATGAGTGAATGAGTCAGTGAAGAAACGAATGAGTGAGTGAGTGAAAGAGCAAGTAAGTGAATGAGTGAGTGAATGGGTGAGTGAGTGAGTGAGTGAATGGGTTAGCGGGTGAGTGAGTGAATGGATGAGTGGGTGAGTGAATGGGTGAGTGGGTGAGTGAGTGAATGGGTGAGTGGGTAAATGGATGAATGAGTGAGTGAGTGGGTGGGTGAACGGGTAAACGGGTGAGTGAGTGGGTGAATGGGTGGGTGAGTGGGTGAGTGGTGAATGTGTGAATGAGTGAATGGGGGGGCTGGGGACGTGGAGAATGGAGCTGGACAGACAGGCTGGGTCCCAGCCCCCGGTGCCCATCACAGCCTAGAAAGGTTGGTACTGACTGCCGAGCCCCCCCAGTGCCCTCCCAGCCCTCCTGGAGGCAGCTGTGAGGCTCAGTGGCCGGAGCCCCACTGGGCCAAGAGGCGGCAGATGCTACCGAGTAGTAGGTGTCCGGCTTCACGGCAGCGTGGCACCGGCTGAAGGGGCCGTTGGCATCGGTCAGCTGCGAGCACCAGTGCTGAGCATACTTCTCTGTGGACAGAGGAGGGTTAGGGTTAGGATTAGGATCAGGCAGCACACTCATCCCACCCAGCTTGGCCCCTGGTGTGGGGTTTGGGGCGCCAGCTTCTCTGGGCAGTCTGACGTTGGGCCCTACATCCTGCTACACACTCAGCCCGGGTGGTGCGGTGCCCTCCCCGAGGGAAAGCTCCCCCAAGCGCAGGGTACAACGCCCTCTCGTTTCCTGCATGTCCCACCCAGCCCCTCACAGCCTCTCACAGTGCCACCTTCCAGGGATGCTAGTGACCACCACTCTGGACAGACAAACTGAGGCCCTTCTGGCCCCTCCACTGGGCTCACTGGACCCAGGCTTCCCAGGCTGCAGGAAGCAGGCCAGAGCCAGCGAGATAGGATCCCACTTCCCCACGGCTGGCGCCCGAGCTCTGAAGGTGGAGTGAATGACTGAGTGAGTGAGCGAGTAAGTGAGCGGGTGGGTGAGTGGATGAGTGAGTAGGTGAGTGGGTGAATGGGTGAGTGAGTGAATGGTTGAGTGGGTGAGTAGGTGAGTGAGTGGATGAGTGAGTGGGTGAGTGGGTGAGTGGGTGAATGAGTGAGTGGGTGAGTGAGTGGGTGAATGGGTGAGTGAGTGAATGGGTGAATGGGTGAGTGAGTGGGTGAGTGAGTGGGTGAATGGGTGAATGGGTGAGTGAGTGGGTGAGTGAGTGGGTGATGAGTGGGTGAATGGGTGAGTGAGTGAATGGGTGAATGGGTGAGTGAGTGGGTGAGTGAGTGGGTGAATGGGTGAATGGGTGAGTGAGTGGGTGAGTGAGTGGGTGACTGGGTGAATGGGTGAATGGGTGAGTGAATTAGTGAATAGTTGAGTGGGTGAGTAGGTGAATGAGTGGGTGAGTCAGTGAGTGGATGAGTGAGTGAGCAGGTGAGTGGGTGAGTGAGTGAGTAGGTGAGTGGGTGAGTGGGTGAATGAGTGAGTGGGTGAGTGAGTGGGTGAATGGGTGAATGGGTGAGTGAGTGGGTGAGTGAGTGGGTGACTGGGTGAATGGGTGAGTGAGTGGGTGAGTGAGTGGGTGAATGGGTGAGTGAGTGGGTGAGTGAGTGTGAGTGAGTGGGTGAATGGGTGAATGGGTGAGTGAGTGGGTGAGTGAGTGGGTGACTGGGTGAATGGGTGAATGGGTGAGTGAATTAGTGAATGGTTGAGTGGGTGAGTAGGTGAATGAGTGGGTGAGTGAGTGAGTGGATGAGTGAGTGAGTAGGTGAGTGGGTGAGTGAGTGAGTAGGTGAGTGGGTGAGTGGGTGAATGAGTGAGTGGGTGAGTGAGTGGGTGAATGGGTGAGTGAGTGGGTGAATCCATTCCCCACGTCCCCACCACCCCACCCCGTGCAGGGGTAGGAGGTCAGGGCCGATATCGACCAACAGAGACTTGCACCCTTTCTTTGACCCTGAAGCAGGTGCCCCACATTCCTGAAGCTCCATATAAGCCAGGCAAGGCACCCACCATGAGCCTGTCCTTGGGCCCCTTCGTGAGCCACCTGGCTCACAGGCACATGTAGGGCCAGCCTCCACGCTGCCTGCAGTGCCAAATGGAAGCGGGAGAACCAGCGCCAGGCGGCCAGCACAAAGGCGAGCTGAACGGACACACGTACCGTTCTCCACACTCAGGGAGCAGGGGTCTTCGAAGCTGTTCCTGATGTTGGGACAGGCGGCCTGGGTCTTGAAGGTGTTGAAGAAGGCTGCGGCCGTGGCCTCCACCACCCCACTGAGGGTCCGGAAGTCATCGGCCTGGATGCTGTTGAAGTTCCCACAGAGACCTGGGGGCGGGTTAGGCAGGGTGAGGACCATGTGTCCCGGCCAGAGTGGGTGGGCTCCAGGCCCCGAAGGTGGCCCTCTTACCGCAGGTCTGCCCTCGGAGCTTGGGCGCCAGCCGCACGAACAGCTGCATGGTGGGTACCAGCTGCAGGTCCAGCTGCAGGCCCAGGTTGGTCTGGGCGATGATGAAGAAGGTCGAAGGTCTGAAGATGGTGACGTTGGCTGGGGACACAAAGGACAAGGATTTCGCTGGGGGTGTGGGGCGGGACCCCAGGCAGCCCGGGGGTGGGGAGAAGGCCGCCGCCCTCACCTGCAGAGATGGGCAGCTGGGTGTAGATCTGGTTCAGGAACACTTCCCCGCTGGCCTTGATCACCACCACCTGAGCGCAGCCAGACAGACGTGTGGGCGCGGGGCAGGCTCGCCGCACTCAGCCCCGCGGAGGCTGTGAAATTGCCTGCAGGTGCCTGGGAGGCCTTTACCTGTGGCTGTGGGCCCTACAAGGTGGTTTTGTGCTCGCCCTGATTTTCTGAGTTTTCTGTGAGGACCATGCTTTATATTCTTTAGTAAAAACCAAAGTTATTCACTAAACGTAAACTGACTTCAGCGGAGAAGCCAAGCTGGCCGCAGATGCACCCAGTCCCTCCTTCCCGGGGCCCCTCGGGTCGGGTACGGCGGCCTGGGCGGCCCGGCCCTGAGCTGCTCCTTTAGGGACAGTCACGTGGACCCATAAGTAATGGATGCAGCCGGTGTTGCCGGGGGATCCCCACCTCCCGCTGTTCACGCCGAGGACGAAGGGCTTGGGCAGAGGTGACTTGTAGAAGAGACAGACCCCTTCCCCCCTTCCCAGGGTTTGCCCTGCCAGGCTCCACTCACCGTCTGTGCCCCGTCCAGGCTCAGTGTCACGCTCTTCAGGCAGGTCTCGCTGTCCGTCAGCCCACACCTGCGCAGCTCAGCCAGTACAGTGAAGGCACTGCTGTCACAGGGCTGCAGAACCGGACACACCAGGGGTCCTCACGCTCCGCCCAGCGCCCAACCCGCCTGGCTCTGCCCCTCCACCCAGCTGTGCTCCTCTCCTCTCCCTCACTAGAAACCCCCACTCCAACATCCCAGCCCCCGAGGGGGAGGTGTGCTAGGAGGCCGCCAGGTGTGGACACCGAGGCACACAGAGAAATCTGCATGCACTGTGGGGAGGCCACACTCTGTGACACCAACCACAGGACCCTCTGGGAAGGACAGCTCTCAGAAGGCACAAACGCCAGTGGATGGCAGGGGCTGGGTGAGGGAGGGGTGAGGAGGCCAAGCTCCAAGGGGTTTGAGGGCAGTGGAGCCGACTGCGTGAAACTGCCTGGCAGGAACAGGACACTGAACGTCTGTCCGAAGCTGCGGAATTTCACCACCACAAGGGGCCCCGATGTCAACCGTGACCTGGGAGGTGAGGGCGCCAGCAACCTGGGAGGTGAGGGCGCCACTGACCTGGGAGGTGAGGGAGCCAGCGACCTGGGAGGTGAGGGCGCCACTGACCTGGGAGGTGAGGGAGCCAGCGACCTGGGAGGTGAGGGCGCCACTGACCTGGGAGGTGAGGGAGCCAGCGACCTGGGAGGTGAGGGCGCCAGTGCAGGCTCTACCCCAAGGCAGGGTCTCATCTTGGGGAGACTGTGTACTGGGTGCTGGGTATCATCTGGGGAGACTTTGTGTTGGAGCGGGAGTACTTTGGGCTCAATTTCTTTGTAAACCTGAAACTATTCTCAACAGTAAAGTCTTAAATAAATAGCCCAAGGTGTGGAGGGCCCAGTGCTGGGTGGGGCTGGAGGCTCTGGTCTGCAGCCTTCATGCCCCTGTGGGGCCCAGCCCTAGGTGTGGTCTGCAGCCTTCGTGCCCCTGTGGGGCCCAGTGCTGGGGAGCTGGGGTGCTTCCTTGAGGTCTCACCATCAGGGACCCCCAAGGGTCACCCCAGGGGCAGCAGTGACATGCAGCCAAGCTGCGGGAGCCTGTGGGAGGCTGGCCGTGGGCCCCCTTTGTCCGGCGAGCACCCCAGGCAGCCAGTGCCTACCTTGGTCAACACATAGCCGCAGTCCCCGTGCACCGTGTAGTGCCTCTCGTCAAACGTCGAGAAGTGGGCACCTCCGAGCACAGAGCAGGTACCCGGGCATGGAACCTCCTGGCAGCTCCACCGGCCTCCGGAGCAGGTGCTGAGAGCAAGAGACGGTGCCGTGTGGTTGCTGGCCCCAGGAGACCAGCCTCCAGCCTCCGTGTCAGGAGGCTGACCGGGTCTCACCCAGGCCTGCCTACATCACAGCCCGGATGAGGGACGCCTGCCAGCCTGGGTCACAGCCCCCAGCGGGTCCGTCCCATAGCACATCCGGGGGGCCTGGAGGGGGGCCAGGACCTACCAGTTGGTGCAGTCTGTGGAGTAGGTGGCCCCCGGGGCATAGGCAGTGCCGTTGTAGACGCAGGCACACTGTGACACAGGGACACAGCCGGTCTGGCCGACGTCATCGAGCACCGTCCCTGCATGGGTCAGGCAGGCCTATGATGGGCTCCTGCTGTCTCCATGTGGTGGGTGTTGCAGGGAAACAACATGGCGGCCCTACAGCAAGCTGAGGCCTCAGCCAGCCTCAGGGGCCCGGGACATCTCGGGCTAGGGGTCTCAGCCAGCCTCAGGGGCCTGGGACAGGGTCCTCAGCCAGCCTCAGGGGCCTGGGACAGGGGCCTCAGCCAGCCTCAGGGGCCTGGGACAGGGGCCTCAGCCAGCCTCAGGGGCCCGGGACAGGGGTCTCAGCCAGCCTCAGGGGCCCGGGACAGGGGCCTCAGCCAGCCTCAGGGGCCCAGGACACTAGGACTGGGATCCTTCTTTTGAGGCTTGGCCATGGCAGCACAGCCCCCTAGTTCCCAGGGTGCATCTGTGTTTCCCAGGGACGGGGGAGTCTCACCCTCAGGGCAAAAGCAGCCGGCCACACAGTGGTCCTCGCAGGCCTGGGAGTGCTCCTGGTTGGAGCAGGTGTCTGTGCAGGGGGAGCGGCACTCGTGGTACTGCATGTTGCTGGGGCACGTCTGGGCTGCGGGAGGCAGAGACACGGCTCACGTCCGCCCGCCCCGGCCCTCCCTGCCAGAGGGGTTGGGGGACAGGGGGCCGGGACACTCACGGCAGAGGTCAGGGCCCCGCCAGTCCTGGGGCAGCCCCCCGGCGTGGGCGCACTGCCGGGAGTACTCCGCGAGGGTGTGGCAGACGCAGCTGAGCAGGTCGGTGCCTCCGCAGAAGCAGAGGTCTTGCCTGCAGGCCTCCAGGTAGCTGCCGACATCCACCAGGGCCACACAGCTGGAGAACAGCTGACCATTCAGGAGCTCCTCGCAGATGCCCTAGAACAAAGGCCACAGCCTGACTGAGTCCTCAGTGGGGAATCTGGACCGGTTCCGGGCTCACAACCCCTCCTCCTCACCGTGCCGGGCCCCTGTTCCCTCCAGGGCTTACAGAGCCAGTGGAGCAGTTCCTCGGGGGTTCAGGGACAGGGTCCTCACACTGCTCCGTGGGGTCGTCCATCTTCTGCAGGTTCCCAAACTCCATGGGAGTCAGCTTGATGTCTGCGGGAAGCACGGAGGTGGGCTCTGCCTGCAGGTCCCGGTACCCCTCAGCCCAGCACCCGAGCAGCAGAGCCCCCACGGCCGGGTCCCTGGGGTGGGGTTAGAAGGGCCATAGGTGGCTCCTGTTCCCTCTGGATGCCTGAGTTGTCCTGGCTGCACCTGCTTGGCCACCCCATGCATGCTGCAGGACCCTCAGGGGGTCTGGAATGATGGAGAGAAAGCCCAGGAGGTTGGTGTCCGAGTCACAGGGGACTGCCGGCTGAGTCCTCAACTGACCCAGGACCCTGGTCTCCTCCTGCCAGGCTGGCGGGAACCCGAGCACCTCCCAGTCCACAGAACCCAGCCAACCCATCGCTGGGCCTGCCTTGCCAAGGGCTGCTGGACACCCAGGCAGACTCAGTTCCCCACAGAGGGACACCCTGTACTCGGGGCTTGTATGGGGTTTCACAGGCCTGGCAGGGGGAGGTGGGGAGTGGGGCCTTGGCTGGTGCAGGTCACATTTGCAAGGCCACAGCCTGGCGGCAAAGACTCAAAGACCAAGAAGGAGGCAGGTCTGTCATTTCAGGAGAGGGTGTGCGGTCAGGGGTCGCCACCCAGAGCAGCCACACAGAGCAAGGGGCCCAACGGGCGATTTGCTCCCAGCCTGCATCCCTGAGACAGGCCGGCATTTGGGGATCGCGTGTGTACGGATGTGTGCTGTGCTGGGAGGGAGGGCAGCTGCCTCCATGCATCTGTGCATGTGTGTGCCGGAGCGTTGGAGGGTGTGTGTGCACACAACACTGAGCCCCCAGGGGACGCTGAGGAAGGAGCTGATGGCGCCATGGGGCCTTACTGTGGGAGAGGAGCTCGCTGACCACGGGCATCCCGTTGAAGTCTCCACAGAGCCCACAGGTCTTGTTGGCATATTTGGCGTCCAACTCCAGCTGCAACGGAGGAGACATCAGACACCCATCCCCACCAAGGACGGACGGACAGATGAGGCTCAAGCCTGAGATTTCCGAGGAGGGGCCGAGGCCCACGGAGGAGACACCCCCAAAAGCAGTCTCCATCCTGAGGGCACAGACCCCGGGACAGCATTGGTGTCTGGGCACCTGTTCTTGCCTGCTGTGTGGGGTGGGGTCTGACCCTGACTGGGCCCAGGGCGCCTTTTACCCTCCCTGGAGAGGCTGTGGGAGCGGGCCAGCCCTCAAGGGCTGGAGGTGCACACCGGGACACCCCCACCCCCCAGCCTCACCAGCAGGCTGTCATCGTGGTTCCACATGAGGACAAGGCCCAGTCTGGCCTCCACCTTGGTGTAGCTGCTGCTCTGCTGAATGAAGACCCCAGACTGGCTGAAGGGCAGCAGGACCCTGCGGAGGGAGGCAGGGCTGAGGGGCTGGGAGCACGGTGAGGAGAGATCCCAGGCAGGGCAGATGCCTGTGGTCGCAAATGGGACACGGTCATGGTGACCATGAAGTCACGTCTGGGATGGGGACAGTGACTTCTGGAGCTCTGGGGTCACAAGAAGCTAGGAAGGGGCAGAATAAGAACCTGGGGATCCCAGGAGGGGATCCAGCTCGGTGGACCAGCTCGGGGGACCAGGGAGGACCCATGTCCAGCTCTACTCTCAGGGGCTTGCCAAGAAGTACACATCCTCCCCAGGACTGCCATGCCCCCGTGACCCCCCAGGAATGCCGTCCCCACACACCGCGTGGCCCCCAACATCCGAGAGCCCAGACTCACGGGCGGCCGTTGACCAGGACAGAGCCGTTGGTCAGCTGGATGACCACGCCATCCACCTTCATGAGGACCCTGCTCAGCGTGGGGGCTGCTGACTCCTGGCTGCGGCGCAGCTGGACGTTGAAGTCCTCGTAGGCGGCGCCGCAGTGCTCGGAGAACACGTAGTTGCAGAGGCCGGGGAAGCGGAAGACGTCGCCGTCGAAGGTCTTGTAGTGGAAGTCGCCCCAGGTGCTGCACACCCGCCCGTTGTGTGCCGGGTTGGAGGCTACGGTGGAAGCAGCATGGCGTTTGGGAGCGTCGCGCTCACCCTCGTCCTGTACCCCTGCCCCTGCCCTGCACTTTCTGCCCCACCCCAGCGTCCTGCAGGAGGTGCTGCTGCCCTGGACGGGGCACCCCGGGGTCCTTCCTGTGTCTGAGAAGTCCCAGACACGTGTGCAGGGAGGTGCTAGGCCCTCTGGTTCCAATACCTACCCAGTGGCTCCAATACCTACCCAGTGGCCACCTGGAAAGCTGGGGCCCCTCTCCACCAGGCACCTCCAGGCCTGAGCGGGGAGCTCAGCAAAGCTAGGCCCCTTCCCCACCCAAGCCTCGGGGCTCCACTCACCTCGTACCACGGGGATGGTCCTCAGAGGCGGGAAGAGAGTCACCCCACGGGGCGGGACCCCTGCGGAGACAGGGACTGGTAGGATGCACACACGGCCCCCAGGTGGGGTGGGGCTTCTGCAGCCAGAGATGTTCCAGCGTCCGTGGGTCCCGGCTCCTGGCTCTGAAACCAACTCTGGATTCTGCCGCGTGTTGCCCCCCCCTCCCACCTACCATCTGCTCCTTGTGTGTTTGCAGCTGCACACCCTGAGTTCCATCTGCACCTTGTGTGTTTGCGGCCACGAACCCTGAGCCGCACACCCTGAGTTCAGTGTGACTTTCTGCTTCCTCCCGGCTGTTACCAGGAAGAAGCCCTCAGGGGCTGCCAGCTCTCTCACACCCATGGGCCTCAGAACCTGAGTCTGCATCAGCGGCTCAAGTCAGTCTCTTGGGTGCTGAGATTAGGCACATCTGGCCCGATTTGGAGAAATGCAATCTGAGAGTTTGCCAGAAGCCCCCGACTCTGGCTGCCCTCGCCTGCCCCGCCTCTGCCAGGGCTGCTGGGCCCCCACGGGCTCCCGCTAGCACAATCCACACCGGGACGGCCGGCGCCAAGGGAGATACCTGTGTTGCTGAAGTGCCAGGAGGTGAACGGGGGGACACTGAGGTAGGACCCAGCTCCAGATCCCTGGAGGGTGGCCGGCACCCACAGGACATGGGCACAGCCAGCCTGCCCCACCCTGCAACTCCTTCAGAGCCTGAGCGCTGCAGGGGGCTGGCCCAAGGACAAGCAGGTAGTGTGACCGACCAGGGTCATGGATGTGGGGTGTCCTCCTGTCCTCCCAGGTTTGGTCCTCAGCGGTGGCCAACTGGGGAGCCTCCCTAAAACCAGTGCCCCTGGGAGCCGTGCCACTCAGTGAAGGGTGGAATCTGACAGCCTTAGGGTGGGGGCCGGACGCTCAGACTCACCACCAGGTCCCTGGGCGATGGGAGAGAGGGCAGGGTGGTGCTCGTAGCTGGATTCGGAGGAGCCGTCCTGGGCATGGCCTGCAGAAAGAGGAGGGGGGCTGAGCCCAGATGCAGGGTGGCTGAGGGGGCTCAGGCTGCGACCACAGATGCGGCGCGGACACCAGAGGATCGGGAGGCCATGGTGTGTGCAGGTGACCTGTGGCGAGGGCTCTCTCTGTGCTGGGTTGGAGGTCCTAGGGGGCCTCTGTCCATGTGAGTCGGAAGTCTGAGCCCAGACCCTCCAGGAGCATCCCCTCAACCTGGCCCCATGGAGCAGGTGGTGTCGGGACCCTTTGCCCCAATCTGGCATCCCCATCTATTCATTCGCACTCACTGCAGAGCATCCCAGGCCCTGGCCTCCACACTCAGGACCCCCGCCCAGTGCAGTGATCCCACTGAGGGGCTGGAGCAGTCAAACGCATGGGAGGGGTCGGCCCCAAGACCGCCTGGAGGAGCTTGCCTCCCTACAAGCAGCAGATCTTGCAGGAGGTTGATCTCCAGGGTCCATGGAGACTGTGCAGAATGTCACCAGATCCCAGCCCAGCCCCGCACAGCCCCACACATCCCTGCACAGAACCAGCATGGTGGGACCAGCCCCCAGCCTCGCACAGCCCCGCATAGTCCTGCACAGAACCAGCATGGTGACCAGACCCCAGCCCTTCACAGCCCTGCACAGCCCTGCACAGAGCCAGCATGGTGACCAGACCCCAGCCCCACACATCCCTGCACAGAACCAGCATGGTGGGACCAGCCCCCAGCCCCGCACAGCCTCGCACAGCCCCACACAGTGCCAGCATGGTGGGAGGAGCGCCCGGCCCAGCCCAGGACCCTGCAGAGAGGGGGTCTTGGGGAAAGCTGTGATTCGCCTGCATCCCAGCCCCAGCTTCCCAGTTCCCGTGCCTGACGTAGGGGTCCTCAGGCCAGGCTGGGAGACCCCCCTCACCCAAATACCCTCTGCCCCCAGTGGGGCCCAGCGCATCAAATGTCAGTGGGCAGAGGGGCCCTTAGCATCTGCAAGCCCCATTGGAGAGACAGAGACAGTGGCCTGAGCCTCACTTACCCCGTCCTGGCCCAGGCCTGCCCCCATCTTCTGAGCCCCACAGGCCCAGCCCCAGCCCTGCCCTCTCCTGGGAGCAGCCCTGGGAGAGAATTCCTGCTTCTGAGATGAGAGTGGTACAGACGAGGGATGGGGGGAGCAGAGTCCGGCTGGGCCACAGCCAAGGGCAGCACGGAGACACTGGGAGATAGTTCTTGCTCTGAGACTGCCTGGCAGAGGGCCAGAGGCTGGGGACAGGGCTGGGCGAGGGACCTGGGTGGGCCATGTGGCCGTCTCAGCAGTGCTGAGGTCCCTGCCCTGCTGTTCCAGGAGCCCAGGAGCACCCACTCCCCCAACCCAACCCCAGGCATTCCCCTGACAGGGGCACATGGTCACCAGCAGACCCAGGCCCAGGTGTCCCCTAGAAGCAGAGGCAGGGACTTACTGGCCCAGCGAGGGGCCGTTCAGATCACAGGGCCTGGAGCCTCCCGCATCACCCTCTTAGCCCCCAACACCCTCTTAGCCCCCAACACCCTCTTAGCCCCCATCACCCTCTTAGCCCCCATCACCCTCTTAGCCCCCATCACCCTCTTAGCCTTAGGCCGGGGGTGAAACAGTTCCCCTGTGGACCTCATCATTACATCCTCGCTCAGAGGCTGAGACCCCCCCAGGAGACCCCCATAGAGGCCCAGACAGGGAACATGAGCTGGTAAACTGGGCACGTGTGGGGTGTGCAAGGGCAGGTGCCTGGGGCTGATGCCCTGACCAGGCCCAGCGGGGGCCGTGAGCCGCTGGAGATACTGTGGGCCAGGCACTGTCGGCCGCCGGGGATAAGTGCAGGGATCCAGGTGGGGAGGGGAAGCCGGAGACCTGAGCTCCTGCTTCCCTGCCTCAGGGAATGGCCCAGCCTCAGAGGTCCCTGAAGCCCGGAGATCCCTTAGCAACCCCACGAGGTGGAAACTGCTCGTTGGTGGCCAGGGCCACAGGCAGGGGCTCTGCTGCTGGGCGCCGTTCATGGCACATGCCCGGAACCCAGGGCAAAGACTCAGCTGCCCGAGGCCCACTCAGTACCGCGCCACCCAGGACTAGTAGAGCGGCCAGGGACCGAACCGTACCTGTGTGCCGGGTGCAGGCCAGAGCAAGAGCCAGGGTCCAGAGTGGGGCCAGCTTCCTCTGGCCGACACCCATCGTGTGGACGGCGGGGAAGAGTGCCCTGTCCCTCGGCAGCCTCTGAGGAGGGACCCAAGGTTGCAGGAGCCTTTTGTAGCCCCAGAGCTGGCTCCGGCCCCGAGCTTCACATGGGTGGGCGGGGCAGGGCCTGTGGTTCCCCCTCACCCGAGTAAACAGTGGGTGCTCACTGCGGGCTGGCCCGCGGCTGGTGGCAGGCAGAGATGGGTGTGTCTGCCAGTTTCCGAGGGCTCCCCCAAGCCCTGGCCTGCAGGGGTTCTCCCCACATACCCCACCCTAGACTCTTCCTGGGCACCGTGCCATGCCCAGCAACCTGTGAGTTCCCGGTGCCCAGAAGTGAGTGCTCAGAACAGCCTGGAGGCACCTCTTTGACACTAAACCCTCTGCAGCAGGACGGGGGGCCCAGCCCAGCCTCTCCCTTTCCTGCCATTCCTCCCGTGGCAGACCTCCTGGTTGGACCCTCCATGTGGGCAGTGGAGCTGCCGACCTTGGCTGGAAAATGTATGGCTGCCTGGGAGGGAGAGGCCAGCCCCAGCCCAGTCCCAAGCTCCTTATGGTCACCTATGTCTCCCTTTCTGTGCCTTTTCCTCCCCATGTCTGTCTTAGCCCAGGTGTCTGGAGAGAGAGCACTTCATATGCGACAGGAGTGTGGGGAAAGGGAAAATGACTGAGTGAGTGAATGAATGAGTGAATGAGTGAGTGAGTGAGCCAAGGCGTCCCTCAAGCCAGCCACATGCTGCCACTGAAGTGATGCCAGCCAGCCTCACCCTCCCTAGAGAGAGGTTCCTGGCAGCAGCCTCCAGGCAAGTGACAGAACCCCTCCCTCACCATGCAGCCCCTCCCAGCATTGCCCAGGAGTCCACCTGTGCTTCAGTCTCCTGGTGCCAGGCGGGCAGGGCCAGTTCCATTCACATGATGGTCTCGGGCCACCCAGATCCAGAAATGCTCAGTACCCTCTGGACAGGAAGCTGTTGACTGGTCCCAGCAGTCCCAGTACAGAAAGGTCCCAGTGAGGCTTTGGCCTGAAGGGCTCTGGCTGAAAAGGTGCTGTTGTGTGATGAACACTTGCCCAGATCACGGGTGTGTGGTAGGACACTGGGGTTGGACTCTCCCTCGCAGGCAGCCACATACTCCCCAGCCAAGGTCAGCAGCTCCACTGCCCACATGGAGGGTCCAACCAGGAAGTCTCCCATGGGAGGAATGGCAGGAAAGGGAGAGGCTGGGCTGGGCGATCTGCCCTGCTGCAGAGGGATTAGGATCAAAGAGGTGCCTCCAGGCTGTTCTGAGCACTTGCTTCCAGCTCTCCAAGGACCCATCCCAAGCTCCTTATGATCACCTACGTCTCCATTTCTGTGCCTTTCCTTCCCCAGGTCCTGTCTTAGCCCAGGTTCCTGGAAAAAGAGCACTTCATATGTGGCAGGAGTGTGGGGAAAGGGAAAATGATTGAGTGAGTGAATGAATGAGTGAATGAGTGATTGAGTGAATGGGTGAATGAATGAGTAAATGAGTGAGTAAGTGAATGAGGGAATGAGTGAGTGAATGAGTCAATGAGTCAGTGAGTGAATGAATGGGTGAATGAATGAGTAAATGAGTGAGTGAGTGAATGAGTGAGTAAGTGAATGGATGAATGAGTGAGTGAAGGAGTCAATGAGTCAGTGAGTGAGTGAGTGAATGAGTGAGTGAATGGGTGAATGAATGAGTAAATGAGTGAGTAAGTGAATGAGGGAATGAGTGAGTGAATGAGTGAATGAGTGGATGCGTGAGTGAATGAGTGAGTGAGTCAATGAGTGAGTATATGGGTGAGTGAATGTGTGAATGAGTGAGTGATTGAGTCAATGAGTGAGTGAGCGAATGAGTGTATGAGTCTATGAGTAAGTGAGTGAGTGAATGGGTGAATGAATGAGCGAGTGAGTGAGTAAATGAGTGAATGAGTGAGTGAGTGAATAAGTGAGTAAATGGGTGAATGAGTGAATGAATGAATGAATGAGTGAATGAGTATATGAGTGAATAAGTGAGTGAGTGAATGACTGCGTGAATGGGTGAATTAATGAATGAGTGAGTGAATGAGTGAATAAGTGAGTGAATGAATGGGTGAATAAGTGAGTAAGTAAGTGAGTGGGTGAGTGAGTGAGTGAATGGGTAAGTGAGTGAATGAGTGAGTGAATGGGTGAATAAGTGAGTGGATGAGTGAGTGAATGAGTGAGTGAGTGGTTGAGTGAATAAGTGAGTGAGTGAATGGGTGAATGAATGAGTGAATAAGTGAGTGAATGGGTGAATGAGTGAATGAGTGAGTGAATAAGTGAGTAAGTAAGTGAGTAGGTGAGTAAGTGAATGGGTGAATGAATGAATGAATGAGTGAATAAGTGAGTGAGTGGGTGAGTGAGTAAGTGAATGGGTGAATGAATGAATGAGTGAGTGAATGAGTGAGTGAATACGTGAGTAAGTGAATGGGTGAATGAATGAATGAATGAGTGAGTGAATAGGTGAGTGAGTGAATAAGTGAGTAAGTGAATGGGTGAGTGAGTGAGTGAGTGGGTAAGTGAGTGGGTGAGTGAGGGAGTGGGTGAGTGTGAGTGAGTGGGTGAGTGAGTGGGTGAGTGAGTGAATGGGTGAGTGAGTGAGTGGGTAAGTGAGTGGGTGAGTGAGGGAGTGGGTGAGTGTGAGTGGGTGAGTGAGTGAATGAGTGGGTGAGTGAGTGAATGAGCGAGTGAGTGGGTGAGTGAGTGAGTGGGTGAGTAAGTCAGTGGGTGAGTAAGTGAGCGAGTGAGTGAGTGAGTGAGTGGGTGAGTGAGTGAATGGGTGAATAAGTGAGTGAATGAGTGAGTGAGTGGGTGGGTGGGTGAGTGAGTGAGTGGGTGAGTGAGTGAGTGGGTAGGTGAGTGAGCGAGTGGGTGAGTGAGTAAGTGAGTCCGTGAGTGGGTAAGTGAGTGCGTGAGTGGGTGAGTGAATGGGTGAAAAATTGAGTGAATGAGTGAGTGAGTGAATGAGTGGGTGGGTGAGTGAGTGAGTGGGTGAGTGAGTGAGTGAATGGGTGAGTGAGTGGGTGAGTGAGTGAGTGGATGAGTGAGTGAGTGGGTGAGTGAGTGAGTGGATGAGTGAGTGAGTGGGTGAGTGAGTGGGTGAGTGAGTGAGTGAATGACTGACTGAGCGAGTGATCACACTGGAAGCTGAGTGGCTGACAGGGTTAGGTGGACCACCCCAGCCACTGGTGCTTCAGGAGGTCTGACCTGACCAGGTATAGCCAGGGTTCCCCTGAGTCACTGGCCCAGTTCATACCATGACCTCTGAACAGTCTGAGTCACCAGCCTGGCCCTCAGAGGGGAGTGCCCCCTGCGTGTCTAAGGCTGGGCCAAGCCCCAGGGCACCTGGCCAACTGGCCACCCAGGCCTTGCAGCCCCAGCCACAGCTTTCTCCTCCCTCAACCAGATGTCACCCAGGGCCGCTACTGTGGTCCAGGCTGGGGGTGACTTCCCCCCGCCAATGTTGGTGGCCCCTGGCTGTGCTGGGCTTCCTCCTGGGACCTTGGTTCAGGCACCCAAACCTCTGGGCATGGGCCACGGGCTGACCGCGTGGTCCCATGCAAACCCCACCAGGCCAAGGCCTCAGGAGGCCTTAAGCCAGTGCCTACAGTTCCAGAGCCTACAGCCCCAAGCTCCACACACCCAGAACTTTCCAGAAAACCCACTGGGCCTTGTTTCCGAGCCCTGTAGGGGCTTCCTGTCTGTCCCCAGGGGCAGTAAGGTCCCGGCCACGCCGCCAGCCTCAGAGGGGAATCTAAGGGTCACTGCAGGCTTCCTGGGACCTCTCAGAAGGTGCAGGCAGGGTCGGCCGAGCCCCGGCGCAGCTGCCTGGCTCCTGAGAACCCTCCCTGAGGCCTAAAGCTCTCAGCATATGCCCAGGAGTCCCACGCACCGGAGGGCTCCACGCCCCCTCAGCTCCCAGCCCCCCAGCCTGCACAGTAACTCCTGCTGCCTCCCAGCAGGGGCCCTGGCCAGGCCGGCTGGATACCTTCCCCCAGTCTGGGGCCAGTGTCAGCTCTGAGACCAGCAGCCAGCACAGGTGTAAGGCCAGTAACTTGGTCTCAAAATCAGGATCACTCTTCCCCCATGAGTTCCCGACCTCCCGAGGTAGCCGAGCATGGCACTTGCATCTCGGAACCCTGATGCCCCGGGCACCCTGCCCGCAGCACCGACCACTTAGCAGGCATGGCTGCATATGCGGTCCGGGTGGGGCTGCAGCAGGGGCCTGGGGGCCGGTGATCTGAAAAGCAGGTGCATCCCTTAAAGCAGACCCTGCCTCAGCCCCTGAGAACGGTGATGACCCCACGGGGCAGGAGTCCACCCTCCTGACTTGAGCCTGCATGCTCAGGTGAGAGGCACCTTCAGGGAAGGTGTGTGCCCGGGACCAGCAGCTGCCTGTCATCTGGAAAGTGCTTGCAGGAGGAGGGTCGCCAGAGCGGGGACAGTGCCGGGCGGTGGGAGCTTGCTTCTGTGGGATGTGCAGGAGGAAGTCTGTGCATGGTGGCGGCACGTGGGCTCCGCTGGGACTGCAGCCCACAAACCCTCCCTCTGCACTCTGGTGCCAGAGGCCCCACAGCTCTGGTCCTCGGTGGCCGCCAGTGCCCTCTCTCCCCGGGATCTGACAGGTGAATGCAGACAACAGGGCACTGGAGAAAGGGCGGGGGTCACGGCCCCGATAGGAGCTCCCAGCCAGGTGTTGCCACAGAGACAACAGGATAAGGAGCGGAGGGAGGCCCGGCCACATCCCAGGACTGCGCTGTCTCCTGCCACCAGGTGCTGACCCCACCTCCAGCCCCCCGGACTTGGGAGGAATTGCGTCAGACAGTTTGCCCTGGGTGACTAACTCATGTGAGATTAACCCCGGCCCGCACCACATCCGCACCACATCCAGTGGGGAAAGCCCCCTGGGGATGGCTTCGATCCCACAGAGCTGGGGAAACAGCCTGGGGTGGCCCGGGGCCACCTCCCCTGGAGGAGGGA